GGTATGAAATAATAAATCTGTTAATGTTTATCAATTTATTATCATATATCCAGATTGTGCATACCCTGCAAAAATAGCCATTTCTTCAACTAATATACATATGTTTCTTTATAGTATTGTAAGTTTTTAAATATAAAGCTTCATGGATGTATGCTTCTGTTTTACAGTTGTGCCTAATATGTAACTTTCATTAATATATACTGAATATATTCCATTAGTATATACTAATATATAGACACACACCCCCATACATACCCACACACACCCCCACACATACAAACACACAGCATCATATATTAGTATATACTGAATAGCAAAAGATTTCTGTAACAGATAGCTGGGATTCCTGTGGAGAAAGTTGTTGAAAGTGGAAGGCATGTATAGCATGGCGAAAACTGACAAGGAAATGTAAATGAAAGCATTTGTTTTTACATTGTTCAATATATTTCAATAGATTATGCAATGCACTGTAATAATATACAGAATCTGAACAGGAGGGTTTTTTTTTTTTATTCCACCATTCCAATGTTTTTTTTTTTATGGTTTCAAGAGGATATGAACCACTGCCTCAGCTAAACTTCCTGAAAATGGAGCCAAGCAAGTAGAAATGTGTTGACATTTTAGAACTTATTCCAGGAAAATAACATAATTCCACCTAACATCCCTCCAAGTCAGGAAAGCACTTAAGCACAGATAAGACTTTATTTGCTATAACCTGAAAGTTAATCACACACTCAAGTTCTTGCCATTATGCTCTTGCCATAAACCTTAACTCTGTCCCCTGGCCCTGTAAAAGGTTTAGAGGCTCCATTATATAGCTAAAAACAGTTTGGCATCTGTCTGAGCAACAGGAGTGAGGAAACATGGAAGTGTGCTTGGGGACCCCAGAGCCAATATTCAGGGGTGTGTTTGTGGCAGATGGGGATAAAGATGCAGCAGGGGCAGAGGGCTGACCAGATGGGGTAGCCTGCTTGCAGCCAGTACTGGTGTGGTGAGGAAAAAGTGATGGAGAATAACCTGCCTGGGCAGCATCAGCCTTTTTCAGCTTCATTCTGCCCCTTGCTGCAGCACAGCATCCCCCTCCAGGCACTGAGCTCCAGGGGGCTACACTGTGAAGCTCAGCTTTTTAGCTTTTTTAGCTTTTACTCCATGGTGCGTGAGCAGCAGCTGCCACAGCCCCAGAAAAGGCTGGCACCAGGACCTGACACTCTTGCTAGTAGCATCTCAGAGGGTTTTTTGTTTGGACTCATTTCAGCTGGACTGCATGGTCTGAAAGCCCACCAGGACCTGGAACTAGGATGCTTGCTTAGTGTCATCTTGAAAGAAACAGCTCATGTGCTTGATGACTGCTCTGTGATAAGAAAAATTGCATGAGTGGCTGTAGGCAGGAGCCTGGCTTTAAAAGGACATTCCTGATAAAATGAAAACACTAAAATAGAAGAATCTCTAGTTCCTTAGAGAAACAGAGGGAAAGAGAGACACATACTCATGCACCTTCAGAGATCTTAAGCTACATTCCCACCCTGTGTTTCCCTTTTGAAGTGCCTGAAGGGCAACCTCAGGCATCTAAGACAGCTACTTAAATTTTGGGACCTTAAGTGAGTCTTTCATGTTTCCCATCATACTGAACTGGTCAAAGGTGTGAGCTTTAAGCTCAGACTCATAACTGCCTGAGACAGAACTTTTTAAAATCAGCTTTAACTTTTTTTCAGACACTAGAATTTTTCAGAGACCAAACCACCACTATAAAGAAATAGAAAGTGAAATGTAGGGCTTAGTGTTTACAATGTTAATAAAATTTCCAAAAGCTTTCTTGGAATTGCCAAGAAAGAATGAAAACTGATCTGAATTTCTAAGGGCAACAGTACATTCTCAAGACCTCAAGTCTTTTTTAACACTTCGGCTGATACAAGAAATATCTTAAGGCATTGAATAAACAAAATCAAATTTAAAGTAACAGGCTGCAGTGTTGACAACTACAGGTTTAATTATGCACATTGAGGTGTTCTGATAAGTCTCTGCATTTAAAATAAATAAATATCATTTTGTGGAATCAAGAACTAATTTAAAAAACAGGATTTTCCATTATTCTTTTCTCAGAGCGTATTGATACTGTATATTTTTTGGTTTGTATTCTTAATAATTCTAGTTCGAATAGATAAAACATTAAATGACTGGTTTAAAAAAATAGCCCTCTTACAACTAGCTCTTCTCCACAAAGTTCTTGATGCATTTAATTAACATGATAAAATGGCCAACAGCTAAATATATGCTGATTTTTATTTCAAAGGTGCCTTTGTGCTACTGGAATGCAAAGCTCTTTTGAAAATCTGTAACTGTTATTTTTAAAAAGATGTAGAAAATGAAGCGTATTCATTTACTAATGAAATCAAGAATAAATGTATTCAAATTTGTAACACTTCCATAATAAAATTATGCTAACATTATAACCTAGCATATGATTAGTTCTGTGAAGACCAGATAATCTAAAATTCCCATCATAAAGCAAACCAAATCAAGCCAAATACATTTAGGTATACTTAAGATTACATATTTTTGGTATACTATATAACATCAATAGGCACAGTACTATAAAGAATTTTCTTTATTAAACTTACTTGAAAATATCATGACATAAAGAGAACAAATTACGTATTATGGTATGGATTGGTTTGTTTACTCTTTCTTGTTAAAATATTTGCTATCACTTGCATACAGGTTTTTCAGCAAAAGCTGATGGCTCATTATAATTCTGTCTTTTCATTGTCAATGGGCTGTGTTGACTTAAAAAACACTTGTATTCATTATACTCTATGTGTGAAATGACAGGCTGAAACACAAAGCCTGAGTTTTTTGATATATGCATATGGAGTTCACTATTCTTTAAATGTAGGCATTTAAATGCAAAATGTAACCATTTAATATGTTTGTAAATTTTATTTTGATATTTCAGGATTAGTTATAACACAGAATTTAAAATTTTGCCTCTTTGGTTCAAGACTGAATTTCTGACCAAGTTGCTCTACAAGGGCAAGGTCGAATGCAGAGTCACCTCTGAATATTCTGTCAGGTCACTGCACAAATGCCTGCTGCATTTACAAATCAACACTGACCAGCAGTCAAAGCTATGACATCTTATATTCTCTCAATAACACTTTTCTTCTTGAAAATAAAAGTACTGATGAAGCCCCATCAGTTTACTTCCTTAGAAAAAGAACAACAACAACAACAACAAAACAATTTACAGGCTAATGTATTTCTTAAATATTCTGTATTTAATGCCCTGTTGCAAAACTCTCAGTGATGAATCCAGGTGTTCTACAAAGAGAATTCTTGACAGAGATCTTCAGGGGGGCTTTCATATAAAGGAATTCCTTCATCTACAGAAATTTGCAATGGCATATTTTGTGCTGGTTTGGGTAAATGTTACGCTCATTCAAGCACAACTCCTAAACACTCCTCAGATTCAGTGATGCAACTGCACATCACACGAACAGTTGAAGGGAAAATATTCAACCAGCAGCTGACCAGTTTCAGATTCTGTTATTGCCAGCAGAGGTGGTAGCCCATGGCCACACTGTCAGGACAGTTGAATGCCACAGTAATGCACTGAAGTGGAGGAGATTATTTGAGAGCACTAAGAACTGTCATTAAAAGATATTAGGCTTCTCTTTTCAGCACTGTCAATGCTCTGCCAAAATTTGTGTTTCCAGTATTTGCTTTCTAGACCAGGGCAGTGCCTGAGTTACCATTGTTAAACATCTTAAACTGTTAAAAGCTTTAGATTCAAAATATCTGGGGTTTTTGCCCAAGCTCAAGATCCTATGGACAGCCATGGTAGCTTTATCTATCCTTCAGATGTGACCCCCCTATTTAGGGACAATTCTTATTAAAAAGTTCATGATGGTGTCTATGAAAACATTGAATTTTGATGCCACTTAGAGGGGCATTTAATAGCTGGATTGTTACATCATTCCACTGAATTTAGGATAGAAAATAAATGTGTAGCCCTTGGAGGTGTACTAATAGGAAGTACATGTGTACCAGAAGACATTTGAAAGTGATAAAATAATTCCCCTCCCCCAAATATTTTCAGATTATTTGAAACTAGTATCAAATCAGATCAGCTATGCTGCAAAACAGTGTTACTTTCACACATGTAAATCCAAATATTTCTAGTGCAAACCAAAAAAACAGAGACATGATTTGCTCCTTAATTTCATTCATCTTTTTTCCTTGCCTTGCATTTTGAATTGTTCCCATTTGGATAAACTCTCCTCCGGCTTCAGGTTTGAAGTATTGATCATCTTAATCCATAGAAAGGGATGGGAAAGAATTACTCTTTCTGCTAAACAAGGAAGATGGTGGCCCTATCTCATAACTGCCACTGACAAGTCTAAGTGGAGGGGGAAAAAAAAGGTAGTTTTGATTTCAATGCAATAAATAGAAACTCCAAAAACTGCTCCTGAAAATGTATGCCTTTTTTCCATCATCTTCACTTATGTGTGTCATAGCACAAAATTAAATTATATTATAAAATTGCAATTAAACAAAGTTACTAATTTTAAACTTAAAGTCCTTTATATTTAATCATTAAGAGATACTCTGAAAGTAGTACTTGATCCAGAGTGATGTAAAGGTCTTAAAAAACAAAGAAATTATGCATTCTGTAACGCATTCTATATAGCTTATTCAATTTATTCCTGTCTTACTATCAATATATATATAAAGTAACTTATTAAGAATTCAAAGGCTAAAATAATTTTTCAAGCATAATGAAAAATGTCTATTTGTTGAGAGTTTAAATGAAACATAATTTCTACCTACGATGTGAAATCAAGGTTAGCCATGGAAACAATGTATTAAGTGAGTTGTATGAAAAAATTTCAAACTCTTGTGAACAAAGACTGTCAGATTTACAGTATTTCATTCTTAACAAAAAAGGAGGAAATAAATAGATGACACACTATTTTTTGTACTTGCACCTAATTTATAATTAAAATTAAATTGATATGTCATTATTTTTACTTGAAGAAGAGGGACTTATCCATGAAAAAGTGTTTTTTGTTTTTGTGGCTTGTTTTGTTTTGTTTTTAATGTATCAGACCAGTATGGCTATATGTTTGCTGTTGTTCCTGTTGGATGAAGAGAACAAAATGGAAAAAGCAGCATGATTCCATGTATGAAAACAAGTATGGATTTACAACAGTGCTTAAAGTGCTTTCTTATTTGAGGAGGTACTTACACAAATGTCTTTTCATGCTTATCTCCTTTGTCACCATGTACTGTATGCTTGGTCTCATTTATAATATAATGATAGGGCATTATGTTCATACTCAGAGTTTAGCATATTGTCATTAAAAAACATCTGAAAAGAGGAAAATGACAATTCTATTTGTGTATTATTACAGCAATTTCAAAATTTTATTAACTACTCAAGTGCTTCATTTCGCCATTTATTCCTTTGCTTCCACTGTTGCTTAAAGCACTATGTAAGTACAAATAGATAATACTAAAAGCATATCCATCCTATTCTGGGGTTTTGACTAGGATTATTTACTGATGTCTTGCAGAACCGAGATGAAATTATGATCCCACGTGACCATTTATCTGCTGATGCTGCAAGATGTCTTGCCTCCAGGATTGGTTTCCACATACATGGTTCACCAAAGGTCTAAATCTTATGAATATTTATACATTTTTATGTCTCGTTGTTAAGTGGCAGTGCTGTCATGGGGGATGTCAAGTAGAATACTTTAATTTGCCAGTACCAGAAGTTGTGGGAGCAGCAGAAGCTGTGGCTTGGCTGCCTACATACAAAGGGTCCAAACAAGCCACTTTGGCTGCAAAGAATGAGTGGATACAGTGAAGGACTGCAAACAGGTTAGAAAACTCCAGCTCCTGGAAGTGAAAAAAAAAAAAAGAAAAAGATTAAACATGAAATGGAAAAATACCCCATAAGCATATAACCAGGAATGAACCACGGTTACAACAGCAATAATTTTAATATCTTGACATAATTGTGCTGATGTGCCTTGCAATTCTCCATTATAGAGACTTAGACATTGAAAATGGACCATTCTGTAAATAATTGCTTGGAGGCTAAGATGGACAAATTTCTGGGTTAAGTGCCTCATAGAAATATGAGAGCCTACTAGCTAAAGGGGAAAGAAAGCGACACTATATAATTTTTATTTTGCTCAGGTTAATGCACATCTGGCACATTTGCAGGTTAATTTAGATAGAAACTTTATGGCTGTGCTTTAACAGTCTGCACACCTCTGGACTACTACTATTTAACCAATGTGCCCACAAAAATTAATAATGTTGAGTTCCACACATATTACATTTGTTCATCATGTCTCCTCACACTATTATTCAGCTATTAAATCACACTATTAAACAGCTATTTTCTTACCTGATTCTTCAATATATATATTAAAAAAGAGAGGATATACTTTCAAAATATGCTACTATCACACGGTGATAATTTGGATTTGTTATTGGGCCAAAAAATGAATATATTCCATGTTTTAAATTTATTAGGAATATTATAAAAATTCCTTATTTTTCTGCTTTAATTTACATTTCTTTATAGCCTGCTCAGCATGTGATTAGACTAGCTGGGACTTTTTTAGACTGCACCAGAGAGAAAATAAATAAAAACTACATATATATTTTTAACATATATAAATTTGCTCCTTTAAGTCTAATTGACCTTATCTGATCAATTTTTTTAGGTTATTTTCAGTATGTGTTTTTGAAGCTGGTATTTAATCAATAAATATCTGTTGTATTTGAAAGCAATTACTGAGGTACTTTAATAACTCAGTAATTCAATACTTCAATACTTCAATATAAGTCTAGGGGAAGCAGTACAGATTTTAGATTTCTGCTTTGATTCACTGCCCATACAGATTTTTTCATTGCAACATGAAGCCAATAATTGCTATCTGTGGTATATTCTACTTGTCTTTCTGTCTAGCATTGGTATTCCCAGGGTATATAGTGCCATGGTTTTGCACTTTTGTTTAGAAGAATATTGAAAATTTAAATTCATCAAAAATTGCTAAATCTCTCAAAGGACATCAACCTGCAATTTTCTGCCTCTTGAAATTTCCTGGAAGACATTGCTTCATGGAATACAAGGAGACATTCACAAAGCCCTCATGGGTGAGGGACAACAGTGTGAAAGCAGACAGCTGGATGTGCAGAATGTCCAGTGATGTACTGAATGGGTGAAGCTTTGTTCAGGTCTCCTTCAGCCTCAGCAGATGTCCTTCAGACATGGCCAGAAACAAACTGATGACATCCCATGAGGTTCTTTAAACTCCCCTGACGACCAATTTTCAATAAAGGAGAAAAAATTTATGCCAAGTTTCACAAATCTGCCAGCTGTGTCCACATAAAAAACTAATCCATTTAGAGATATTCTCAGTTTTAAACCCAGAGGATGGAAATTTTATCACTACGTCAATGTGGATTTTTCCTCCCTCAAATTTTAAAATAAGAAAATTTATCATAAATAAGAAACAATGGTCATTCAAAGATGAGGAAGCAAGGAATTATGGAAGCTATTTCAGAATAACAACTATGAGTCATTGGAATTAAGTTACTTTCCAGTTAACTTCATTTTATTAATTTATTTTTTTACCTTTTTAGTACTATAAAGACACACCTGAAGCTTAAGATAAGGGAATAAATATTTAGTGGAACCATGAAATATTTTTAATATTTTTAATATCAATTGCATGTATTATCTGTAGAAAGACTGCAGTTCCCCCTATGTCTCAACAAGATGACCATATTAAAACAAATGCTACAGTTGGAGAATTGTTCAAGTCAATTAGGTAACGTTCTAACTAGCATAATTACTGGACACTGAATTTTCACAGTGCATGTGTATAATTATTTCCAAGAGTTATCTCAGCTTTCTGCAATAGTAACACATCAGGTGTATCCACTGCTCAATTGACCATCAAGGGAAATGGGTGAGGCAACAGAACATCCTCTGGATGTTCCCACTTGGTAACTGTTATCAACAGTAATGACACAACATGGAAATTACCTTGACTGCAAAGAAGAGCACTGAGAAGTCAGCAAATGGTCAGTCATCATTTGCAATGAAGACATGCATTTTTAACTAGAAATTAAAGCACCTTGAAGCACAGTAGGCTGACTGGTATGTGGCAAGTACATGGGTCTGATTAATGCCTGCAACTCACTTCCCAGAAGCCTGATTGATGGGGACAGGACTTTATCAGGAACAACACTTTCAGGCAGATCAGCCTAATCACAAGAAACCTTAACAAGCAGATACAACTCCATGTAGGGCTGCTGACAGGAAAAACATGCCTTCACTTCTGCTGGGAACTTGCCCTTTTAGGTGTCTTCAGGATGGCACTACTGGAGCAGACAGAGGGGATCCCACAGGCTCTTAAGCACCCCCAGCCACCCTGGTTGTTTCTGCACACACTTTGTCCTCAGCCATACTTTTGTCTGAATGCACTTTCCTCTAGGCAGGGTAGTGTGTACTGCACACATGGTACAGGTGAAGTTCCAAGTGAACAAACAGACAAACCCTAAGAAACCTGAAAAAATGTACGGTTAAGCCCCTGAAGCTGATACCAGTAGGGAAAGTCACATGCTCTGAATCCTCCAAAAAGTAAAGAAATCCTAATTTAAGCCACTTCTACTTGTCCATGCACAAGTTAACACGTTACTATTATTACAATTTCCAGACTGTTGCCTGTACAGCTCAGCTAAGACCCAACTCTCCAAGGAATATCAGTGTACCCACTGGTCTTCAAATTGTCTTTCTAAGCTATCTTTTGATTAAACTGCTCTCACCCTACATTGCTGTCATTACACCAGATTGTTAATCTGAACATCTGCAGTTCCTGCTGAGGACAATATAAGTGGGCAAGAAGGCACAAGAGAAAGATGCGGTCATTCAAAATGTCAGAAGTATATTGGTATATTGGAAATCTAGTAGCATTTCACAAAAAAAGTCTTTGTGATTGAAAAGAAAGAGAAAGAAAGAGAAAAAAAGTGAGTTTTCCCAAAAGAAAAAAACAAACCTCAGCAATCTCTTATTGCATTGTATTATACATTATATGTAGTATGATGCAACTACATAAATGATACATTTACAAAATCCAGCAATTTTGTTTTGAAGTACCCTTGGTATATTTAAAAAGTCTTCTCTTTCATCCATATATAAACAGCTGATATGAGAAGATATTTGTTCATCAAAAGTGGAGTTACATGGTCTCTCTACATTTGCATAGAATCTGATCTAAAAAGACATGTGCAAGACATGGGGAAACTAAAAACTGAACCACAGATATCAACACAAGTCAGAAATGTGAAATCTAAAATTCAGTAACTGCAACTGAGCAATCACTCCATAAAAATCTTAAGGCTGTATACTTATAACCCATTTAAGGATGATACTCTAAATGTGAAGAGCACTATGGTGCTCACTGAAAAACCCTCAAGGCTAAGAACAAGGATTAATTTAAAATTGCATTTTGGAGAACAGACTTGAAATGAGCAGAAATGTCAGCCTGGAAAATGATGCAAGCACCCATCAAGTCACCTTGCAACAGTAGAAAGTGGGTATTTTGTTCACAGTAATGTGATCAGTAGTCATTCAGGATATTTAGATTAGATTTCTTTACAAGATAATTTCAAGTACTATAAATTGGCATTAATTAATACTAAGATAGTATTAATTAATAATGAGATTAATATGAAATCCCTGAAGTTAAATTTCTTCCTTAGCTGATACCATATTTGTGCCTTCTTTGGTTTTCCATATTCAAATAGATGAAGACAATTGACTGGACCTTCATCTTGATAAACTTATTTTTGTACCCATTTCAGTTTTGTACTGCTCAGCTTAGGAGTTCAGCCAATCTGTGAACAAAAGCTCACCTGATGCAGCACAGAAATGTGGCTTTGCCTGAGTTTTTCTGAGAGAACTGTTGTGCTGCAAGTTGGGGATGTGAAAGCACAGACTGAAGTGCAGCTTTTGAGTCATATGTGTTTTACCAAGCATAGAGAGACCCTCAGTTCCCAGCTTGGTAAAAATTCAATAATGTAATAAGATGCTGATTTTTATACACATCACTTATTCCTTTGTTTGTTAGCATATGTTTATCTCAAAACAGGAACATTCAAAGATTTAAGGTACTCTTCTGCTTTGTCAGAAAAGTCTAATATTTAAGGTTATATTGAAGGTCACACCACTCTGAGTTTATTACAGTCCTTAGATTGTGTATCACCTCCAGAATCTGCTGTGATACTATTGAGACTCCAATGGATCATTAAACTATAGCTAAACAAATAGGTAAACTGATAAGTAACTAGATAGGAAGATCTAAGTGAATCCCTTTCGGGCCTTACAGATGCAGAGAAAGCTTTGCCTTCCTGTGCTTAGTTGGTTTTTTTTAACCCAAGTTAGGTTTTTTTTTTTTTAACCCAAACAGCTCAGTAAGAACAAATACAGGGACACATTGGCTCCACATTCTGTCAAGGTGACAGCTCTATTTTGTAGCTCTCACTCATAAAAATTTTGTCTCACTGAGCAAAATCGTGCAATATCTCCTGCTGAGTGACAGCTGGGAAATAACCTACAGATTGGAATGTCTAAGGGGTATCAGTGATTAATGCTACCCTTAAGTGGTTTTCTTGTCAGAAACCACTTAGACCTTGCCTTAGATACCTTTTAAGTTAGGTGTTTGCTTTCAGGCCCCCTGCCATAGACCCACTGGTGTGATCTATGGTAATTATTGTTCAGATTTTTAGACTGCAACTGCTTAAATCCATGAGGAAACACTTCTTTTATTCTACATTATATATCTTTACAATAACATAATTTCACTTAGAGAGAAGCCAAAAAAAGCATGACTACAATGTCTCTACAGGAAAAAAAAAGGCAGTATTTGAAATGTTTAAATACCTAAAATTATTTTAAAGCTGAAAAGAACAATACTGGGAAATAAGTCAAACTAACTAAATCCATAGCACATGCTGTATGTCTCAAGGCATGGCATTTTGAATTTTTTAAGTCAGGCATGAAACACACTATAAAAAATGTTGACAGTATCATAAAAATCTTAGCTATTAGTGTCAGTGAAGGACTTTCTGTCACTTAGGAATATAAACTCTGGTGGCGTTTTTCCCAACAACAAAAACATCAACTAAAAAAAGCTAACAGATAGCCACCATTACGTGGTGCTTGACTTTACTCCAAAATGCATTTTTCCTAGATTTTTCTAACATTAACATTGGCATCTCAGTATATTCCACCAGAATACAGAGAAGGTGCTGGACAATTATGAAGATAGTATGATAAAATTTAAAATGCAGATGCATAATTATTTTTTTCCCAAGAAATGTATATCTACAAGTTGGAACATATTTCTAGAATAATAACAAATTTGTCTAAGTTTGGATCAAAATTCAATAGATGAGCAGTTTGACACTCTTGATTCTGCAGATCATGAATAAGTGTTCTAAAGCTAAAGGGTATTATCACAGAGGTTCAACTTGCCATAATCACACACATCTGGGAAAGCATGAAATACACAAAATGTTCCGCATTATAAATGAAGGAAGATGGGAAGAATTTGGTTCTGATAACTCATATTTTTCTGTGAAGCTATTATATAGAATCATAGAATCATTTAGGTTGAATAGGATGTTTATTGAGTCCAATGGTTAATCCAGCACTGCCAAGTCCACTACTAAACCATGTCCCCAAGTGCTACCTCTACATATCTAGATCATTCCTTTGGGGGTGGTGATTCTGCCACTTCCCTGAGCAGCCTGTCCCAATTATTGACAACCCTTCTGGTGAATGCATTTTTCCTAGTATCCAACCTATACCTCCCCTGGTGCAACTTGAGGCCATTTCATCTTGTCCAATTGCTTACTACCTATGAGAACAGCCTGATCCCACCTGGCTACAATCTCCTTTTAAGCAGTTGTAGAGAGCAATGAGATTCTTCCTGAGCCTCCTTTTCTCCAGGCTAGACAACCCCAGCTGCATTAGTTGCTCCTCATCAAACTTGTGTTCCAGACCCTCCACCAGCTCTGTTGGGCCTTTTCTGGACTCACTTCACCACCTTAATGTCTTTCTTTTAGTGAGTGGCCCAAAACTGAACACAGTATTTATGGTGTCTGGAAAGTTACCTGCTGTGCCCTGCTTCCACATTGCTGCTTGGGAATAAGTAAGTAAAGAGCCCTAATACATTGGTGCAATGGCTCCTCAATTTTTTGGTTTTATTCTCTGCTGAGTCCTCCTTTCACCACATTCTGATTATTCCCCATGTATTATAACTTGGGGAAAAAAAGAATAGAATCATAAAGAAAATGCTGCAGCAGTGGGTCTCCAGGCCAGCTGCAAAACAGGGCTGCATTTAACAGGTGATGATAGCTGTGGCATGAATATTCATCACAACCTTTAACAGATGTTTTACAAAATTTCCATCCTCTGATTTCAAATGAAGTCTGCATACAGTATTCATGAAATCTGGCATTACAAATATTTCTGAAAATCTGATTAACATTTCTTAATGACTCAACAGTTCCACAAATAGCTTTACTTCTGACTCAGGAATGTAAAGCAAGAAAATAGAGGCTAGACTGTTCCACTTCTCCTTAGGATGAATAGTTCTTTAAATCTATGAAAGATTTAAAGGATACAGAAGGGGGTTATCCACAAAATTGTAAGGTAATCAGTGTTGAAAATATATGACCCCAGAACCCTCACATTCATTTTACAGACACATTTATCTACATTTCTTAGATTAAGCAACATACTTAATATGGAAACAAATTGGAACAGATAGAATTGCTTATTATAAATGCCACAGCACTTTCCAAAGAGAATATAACCTGACATCTTTGCATATAGTTGATATGCTTTGCTCACCAAGAAAATTATTTAAATAAATAAATTCTTATTTCAAATTTGAGTAATGTGAAAGTTTAAATTTATAGTAAAGAGCAGCAACCAGGGAACAAGACAGCATATTAATAAGCATGCTAGCAGGTTTGTATAATACTTTGGCTTCATAAGGTGTATTGTAGCATCACTACCTTAATAAAAGTTTGGTAGAATTTTCTAGAACTCAATTTGAGTGGAAATAACAATAGGTACAATAAAGGCACAGGATACCTCTAAGGCTTTTGTATGTCCAACACACTTATGTATCTCTAAGTGATTTATTGACAGATATAATTTTAAAACATTAAAAAACTTTATTTTTTTTTAATCTGCATTTGATTATTTGGGGTTTTTAATGTAGTTCAGTATTAAAAATATATTCTAGTTTTACCAGTTAAAAAAAAAAGCAAAGTAAAACCCCCAAAATCCCCAAACACCGTAACAGTGTGTCATTCTTGGACTCCTATGAATTTTTGTTACTGCTAAAATAATGTGTTAATATGACAGCAACAGCAGACAGATATTAGAAAAATAATGATGACTTTCATCCTTCATCTGTACATAAGAGCAGGATAAAATTTTACAATTACTTTCTTAAGAGAAAATCATCCTCATGACATTAGGTTAAACTCTATTGTCTTATTAGAGCTGAAAAAAATTTCTGCACCACTAAAAATATTTCTGAAGGAAATCAGAAATAAGAAAATATTTATCTTTGAGATGCAGCAGAACATGAAGGTATCAAAACCATGGTCCCCACATTTTACCGTTGTTGATTTAATGGGAACTCTTACATACCTTTATTTTACTGTACTTTATTTGAGTAAAACACTCAAAATCAAGTAAATAGCTGCTGGGTTGAAAATAATTAACATGAAGCATAAAGAGACATGGAGAAAGATGCATAATGTAGCTACTGGCATTTAAACAGATACCTATCCCCAAAACAATGCATTTTTTTCTTTACATATTTTATAATACTCTACGTATTTAGCACTTACAGACAATTTATTTAACCATTTCCTTTTTGCTCATGGAACTGTTTTGTTATCAGATTCATTCAGCAATTTTGTCCCCAACATGGTCAGGAAAAACAGTATAGTAAATGCTTTAAAAGCAAAGCTTAGACATCAACAAAAAGACAGTCTTTAGGTTTACACTAAAATTTGGATTCTAGTCAAAAAAGAGCTTTGACCCAGACTCTAAGGCAGTTACAACCATTTCAGACCTTGGGAAGATCACTGCTCACAAACACTGAGACAGTAAATGGCCGTATTCTCAAAAGACATAACTTGTAGTAAGCTTAAATCTCTCACAGCTACTATTTTCATGAATTAACTCTTGAATCAAAAGCATGACTGGAAATACAACTTTTCTGATTTTGCACTAGATACAGACACTTCAGTCTTGGGAAATATGTATTTAATCCACACTTTCTTTTTTTCCTCTGAGAAATAAAAACAGATTTTTAACCTTTGCTGAGTTTTTCTCCCAGGTTGACTTAAGGATATATTTTTCCACCATTTCTTCATGATAAAATTATAGGGCAATAAACAGGGTATTCAAGCTCTCAGATAGCTTTATCACAATGACAAAGAGGAGAGTTGGAAAACATGCCTAAACCCATATATACCATATGTCCTGTATTTCATTATTTTAAAATCTAATTACACATTTCAAAAATCTTCTAACTAGATGAAAGTAATTTGTTCAGTTTTCTTCAATTTCATCAGTTTTCTTTGCATTTTTTGTGCATTAATCTAATATTTCCAAGTAACTTTGTTTACTATACTTCCTGCTCCCCTAGCTGCTTTGAAAATGGTATATTGCCTTTAAACAAACAAAGTATTGTTTTTACCTTTGCTTCGATTTGTTTAGTATCTTGGTTTTGGAACAAAAATTTGATTTTGCTCTTCCCATCATCTGAAGAACCTTTGAGCTGGGAAAACTTGTACCTCCAAAGCACAGCCTAAAGGAGAAAAAAAAAAACAAACCAAAATATAAAAAATCATACACAAGTCAATGCAGCTATCATTGAAAATTGTATTAGAAATAGCTGATCTCCTTCCAAGGAAAGTTTTAACACCTCTATGGTACATAATTAAATAAATGTATTGTCTGTGGTCAGATGTTCCTTTAATCATATAGAGATATTATGCTTTGGCAGTGCTTGAATAACACCTGTCAGACTACATTTGTGAAATTAACCCTGAAATCCCTTCATCTAGATTTAGTATTTAATGAAAACAGATAAGGATTTTTTTTCCACCGATGATCTGTGGATTTGCTACTTTATTGGAAGTGTTGATCTGACATACAAGACCCCTCCTTCCATACTAAAAAAATCTAGTCATAACATAAAGGGCATATCATAGTAAAAACAAATCTCTATTTTTAAAAGATAAAATAACAAAAGAAAATTTTTAAAGAGAACATATTTCGAGTTTATTTATGAGAGCTCTAGTGAGGAATTCGAGCAAATCATTAATTCTAACCGTAGCAGTGGCCTTTCAAGTAATTGTATTATGAATTGCAATGTGTCTTGTTGAAAAAGACATAATGCTTTACAAAGTAAATACACAATTAATAAAATGTACAGATGTCTAGAGAAACATCTCCTTATAATTACATTTAGTGTGGATTTATGGAGACAAAAAAAAATTCAAACTACTTTGCTTAAAAATGGAAAAAATGTTGTCTTTTCCTCCTAATTTAAAGACATCCCCCACCATCCAGATATTTTCAATTCTTAAAATGTTTCACTGTGATTCCAGTAGCATTTCACATAATTAGGAGGCATCATCACTTACATTGTTCTACTACTTTGATGAAAAATAATTTCACAGGCATCTGACAGCACAGAAACTTAAGGCAACCCTTTTGTACAAGGGTTTGTAAATTACTCCCTCTCAGTGGTGTAGGAGGACACTTTCATCTGTGCCCTTAGTCTTTATCTATGAATGGTTTACTATCTACTGGGAATTAAACTGAATATGAGGGAAGTCAAATTTTTAACTGTCTTAAATCTAAATCCCCTTTGCTTCGGGATGTATTGGTCTCTTTATGACTGGCAAAAATCTCTACCCTGCACCAAGCTGAATAAAGTTTGTTCTGTTTGTCTTAGCAACCTAATGAGAAAAGAAACCACAAGGACAGCATCTTAACTGTGCACTATACACAAAGCAAGTGCTAGAATTTTTCTCCACAATTGTCTCTATACAGTTGCCCTTTCCAGATTAAAAGAAAGAGCCCCAGTCTCAGCACCACTTTCATTCTCTGCATGTATGTGACAGGTGAGCTCCCATCTGCCATAAACAGAGTTAAGGACATTCTGTTTCACATAAACTACAGGAATTTGGCAGTTTATGTGAAAATATATCCTATTTGTTTCAAATGTTGTTCTCCTGAGCCCACCAATCTGTGCTACAGAAAATGGAACAGCTTCCCTCATTTCTATGTGTGTGAAATTCCTTTGACGTTGTTTGATCAAAGATGTTTACTTATATTGTACAAATAGTGAGGTAAAAAAAAACATCTCAGCAAAACAGTCCAGTAAATAACATCATTCAGCTGGCTATATTCCTACCTGCTTTGTAAACTCCTTTTTATTTTACAGATCTATGAAATCTTTTCAGAAGATCAAGACCATTGCCTTTCTGCAGGGACAGCAAATCTACTTAAGTATGTTATTTCCTGGATGAGAAATGTAAAGGGCACTGATTGTCTCTTTATCTCAGGAGAAAACAACCAAAGCAATGAGCTATCATCTTTCTCTTCTCTGATGATATATGGAGAGGCCAGGAGAGAGATGCAGCTTTTACAAGGACCCTTAGATATGCAGGCAAAATCCCAGGGTACCTGGCCTTATTCCCAGTCAGATTAAGTTTGAATGAAGATGAAGGATGTATAGAATTAAGGTACTTTGACATTTCCATGCTTCGCCATGTACTTCATTCCCATTCAGAGGAAAGAGAATGACAGTCCCACCAAACCCCAGGCACAACTCAGGAACACACTTCAATTTATGCATAACACTGGTTTTGGAGACTACTACTCAGTCAGGGCTCTTACTTAAGAGCATTTCAAAATCAGGTTTATAGTGTGGAGAGAACTAATCCCAACAAAACTGCACTTCAACATCAAGATACTAAAACAAGCTCCTAGAACTGAGTCTCTGCAGAGACAATTAAATACTCTTCATCTAAAGAGTAAGGAGTAGAAATGCTATTTACAATGCATTAAATGATTCCCACATGAAAGAATTATCTGCTCCTTTTGAGTGATCTTCAACAAATTGCACTTTCCCTCAAAATTGTCCACATGAGGGATCAGTCACTTGCAAAAATAAGAATAGGAAATGTTGTGAGCTTTAAGTCACCAAGTCATGAATACAAAGTATTTCAAGCAAGTTACCCTGGCTATTTCTTTTTCTAGAGAATCTTTGAATAAAAAAATCCTACATCCTGGTTTAAAATGGCAAGAACAGGTTCATTAGGATAGAGTTTGGATGTGTGTTTACTTCAATATACTATACTACATTAAAAGTGTTAACAGATAGCTTAAACCACTTAAACTAGAAGTTCAAATTCTAGATAGCAAAAGTTGAGTAAATTAGTTAATTATATGCCCAGTAAGACCCATATAAATCCTTTCTCCTATCAGAGAGGCGGAAGTGCTGCCCTGTGTAGCCAGAACTACACATTTTGTATGCATAGAACATCTATAAGGGATACAGAATGCTGTGACTGCAGTCACATTGCTCAAAATAAAGTATCTTGGGGATCACTGGATTAATTTCTCTGGTTGCATATGTTCTGAGTGTGGTTCTTTTCATTTTCATTGCTGCAAAATGCATAAGCAATGCACAGGGACCAGACCTATCCTTTTTCAAATACTACTTTATAGTGCCACAGTAAGAAAGGAGACCAGACCAAATCACCTGAGCACCAGTTTCACACAGATGTGAAACTAAAGCAGTGACATTAACACAGGAGAGAGAGAGTTTCATGTGTTATCTTTCATGATCCTATAGGTTGACTTCAGTGTTACAGGGTTCACTGCGGTTACTTTTCCAAATTCTATTGTTAAAGGCTAATTCTCCTGCATTAGGTGTAGGTATCCTTGGCAATACTGATCTACATCACTGTCACAGTCATTATTTTTTAATGTCTTTGAATATCAGAGTTCCTTGAAACCATTTGTTGAATGATTGCTTCAGAAAGTTAACATAGGCTGTTATAATTTTGTATAAATACATTTATGTATACATATTGACCTTTAAACCAGTAAGTACACTTGTAAAACATGCTGGCTTTTTTGAAAATTGTAAAACACCTAAATGTGTGGCACATAAAATTTTTCTAAATCAGTTTTCAGGAATTATGAACTATAGGCAGAAGTACTTACTGGTTTGCAGTGTTACTGAGCTCAGCATTCATAGGGCTACTTTTAGCTGACAAAACCAGCCTGTTATCTTCAAGTAGTCTCCTCATTAACTGTGCATAACCTGCATCACTGAGAATAATTTACAGGTCTATATACAGCATTTATAGGAAGCAATAAATTTTTGTTTGCCCTAAAATAGATTTGACAGGTGGGCCAGGTGCCAATTCCTTTTAAAGCACAAATTGCAACCAAATTAAAAAAGATTGTGTTGTAGACAGTGGCATCAATACTCTTGAGGATCCTGGCACACCTTTTAAGCCATGGCACACAACATTAGGATACCTTGATAGAAGATGAAGAGGAGAACTCAGTATGCACTATTTATTGCTTTTCAATGAATGAGAGAAAAGTGAACTCTCATTTAGTGAGTAGAGATAGAACTTAAGAACAACAGCAAGCAGTCCAATTCAGCAAGTGGGGACCAAGGCATACACTGAAAATACCACCAGTGTCACAATTTGCACAGTCCAAGTGTGGCCACAGAAAATCTGACATAATTAATCCATGTCTTGAAAAATGCACTGTAAGAAGACAATCTCTTTGAACAAATACAGTATGTATCATGCATAAAATTGAAAACAACCAATAAGATATAAATCCTTTTTCCAATTATTATTCATATATTGCTTAGTCTGCCTTTTGCATTTTACACCATTTAATAAAATTAACTTCAAAGAATACCAGAATGCAATGCAAACAAATAAACTGTGCAGACAAGCTGACAAATTAGATTTAAGACTCCTCTTGAGATGTTATTTAATTATTGTAATAACAAATCATCAAAAAGCAAAATCCTGTATTCACTGAATTAGCAGGATTTTTTTTCCTGTGACGTATCAGGGACCAAGATTCTTTACCAATACTTTTTAATGAGAAATATTTTATTTATAAGTAATCATCTAGGACTCATTTGTGCTAGTCTTTGCAAACAAATTACTGCCTATTATCTTCTGCTAGTGTTATTCTACTATAATTAAAAAGGATGCTCTCTGCATGCATCTTTTTATTTTCTAGTTGGTACTTGAATGCAACATGCAAATGACACATGGAAGAAAATTATTGACTTGTCTACACCTGAAATACAGCCATACAAACGAAGAAAATTATTATTGTTTCTATTCTTAGCAATAGTGCTAGATCTAGAACACATATTCTTAAAGGCACCCTAGAAAACACTTTCACATTCATATTATATGTCAGGTTGCTACTAATTCCCAGAATCTTGGACTAATCCACATACAATTTTGGTGAGATGACATCAAACAAAATCACTTTCCATCTAGGTAATGACACCAGAAATGTGGAAATACATAACTGTAACTATCTTTGTTTGGGCTATGACTAGGAATATTCATTAGAGCTTTTGTTTCATTTTGGGCCAAGGAGTTTGTTCTAATCCTAAATAGAGATCAGATTATCAAATAAAAACAGAATAAATAGGTGACTGTATTTTTACTTACCATGCTCTTAGCAATATTCATTTAAATGTGAATCTCTGACTAGTCCATGGCTCTGGGATAGATA